TATACAATTCTCTAATCCACACAAAAAAAGTGAAGGAGGTGTATGAGCCATGATACACAGTTAGAGCCCAAGCTCTATGAATGCTAGAGTAATGCTAGTGTCTTTGGCCTGAGATACCAGAGAAAGAGTCATAAAAGAGATAGCCTTCAGCTAAAATAGGGTGTCATTTGACCTTTGTAGATGGGGAGAAGGAAATTCCAAGCCAAAAATAGTCCAAGAAATGGTGCAGAGGAGAGACGATTTCAAATGGTCTGGTGGCCAGACCATGTCTTGGAATCACTGGGAGATGAGATGTGCTTATTTGGGAGCCCACTGAGGAAAGAGCTTTGGGTTCCAGATTTAGGAGACAAATCTAAAGTTTCTGCAGTCCATAGTCTGAGCTGTATACTTCAGACAGCGGGGTTTATGATAGGTGGTATGAGGATGCCACAGAGTAAAAGAAATATTTTCTGGCTACTCTCATGTCAGTGTGATTCATTTGGATGGCTAGAACATGTTTCCGGCACTGATAGACTTTCTTCCCTTATTAATGTTTTTTATTATTTGGTTGGCCAGCATTGAGTAATGTGAGAACAATCTTGTTCCTTTTGCCACAGTATCATTGACAAGAGAGTGAAAGGAAAGCATGAAATGAGGGCAGTCTTAACCTTTTAACTTGTGACCATTTCATTCGTCATAATCTTTGACTGCCCCCTTGTGGCCATGTTAATGCTCATATTTTTTTTTTTTTACTTCTAAAGCAGATAGCCAAAAGAATCCTGTCAAGTCCAAAGCTTTATGTGAAAGGAGATGTGTATCAAAACATCATCAGCTCTTTGTGTGGCCTCCTCAGGCATCCGACTTCATGGATCACATACATGTCAGTATCATTCACGCACCTGTGGAATGCCAGAATTAGCGTAATTATAGGAAAGCTATATTTAGCACTTACCATGTGCCAGACACTATTTCACGTGCTCTAGGTGGACATCTCACTTAACTTCAGAGCAGCACTACATGGCAGCTACTATTATTATCCCTCTTCTAGAATTGAGGAAACTGAGGCCTAGAAAGTTTATGTGATTTGCTAAGGTGGCAAGGTCCCAAGCCTCAGAATGGAAGAGATCCAAATGTACTGTCATCAGAGCCAGTCATTTTGACCACTTCTTTATTGCTCCTTCCTGCCTTGAAGGACCTTACAGTGTATATGAGGGGATGACATCTATCTACCTACACACACATACACAATAAACCAAATAGTACAGAGTGTTTGCTGAAATGCCAGGGAAGGTCCTGAAGACAGTCACAAATAACTTCAGAAGAGACGAGGCTTTCAGAGTTGGTGATGCTTCTTGAGGGAACCAGTGCTTTCCCTAGGTCTTTAACAAAGGGTGGAATTTTGCTACATGTTTTTTTTTTTTTTTTTTTTGAGGGGGGCAGGTAGGGAGCGCATGGTGCAAGTAGTCAAGGGCAGGATTGGGATGTGAGAAACAAAAAGGCCTACGGCATTGAGGAAACATGAAAAGTAAGGCTGGAATGACACAGAGCAGGGGGAAGCATCTTAAAGGGCCTTGGATACATGTGATAATTTAATGATATGGTCATTTTTTTTTTTTTAAGAGAAAAGATCAGGCTCACCTTATAGTGAATGACCGGCCACTGATTATTAACTTTCCTACCAAAAGGCAGTCACAAACCAACACAAATGACTAGTGCATACATTTATTCCTTCATTAACTGATTTGTTCAAGAAATACTGATTGAATGACTACCTACTCCATGTTAATCCTGACTTCTGTCTTCAGGTGGCTTATGGCCTAGCAAGGGAGAGACAAACAACTATGTACAAAATGGCATTATACACGAACATGCCAGAAATGTGTGGTTTGGACATCAGGGTAGAATTCCAAAAGAAATGGCATTTAAAGCTGAGATCTGAGGGATTGATTGGAAGGAGTGAGGCAAAAGGGGGAAGAAGTAAAAAGCAAAAACTCAGGGATAAGAGAGGGAAAAAAAGAAGAGCACAGCAGCTTAGAGGAAGAATAAGTGGTTTGACATAGCTTTAGAATGGGAGAGGGGGAAAGTGCTGAGTAAAGATGCTAGAAAGGTACATATGCCCAGGGCTCACAGGCTCTCATAAATCAAATATAGATTCTATTCTGAGAAGAAAGGAAAACCAAGGAGGATTTTAAGCAGGGAAGTGAAATAATGAAATTTGCCATTTAGAAAGATCATGGTGGCCACTGTATGGAGTATGATTTTTGGAAGGGAGTGTAAGAAAGATCAGTTATGAACCTTAAACTTGAGAACATGGCTGTGATTGTTGACATGGGAGCCATCCCACTCAGGTGAAACTATGAAAGAATGAGCCACACCACCAAGTCCAAAGACCTCGACTTCCCTCTCCTCCCAAAGAAACTCCAAGCTCTAGGCTGGAACTCACATAGTGGGCACAGGACGTTCTCTAACTCAACTCCACCTTGCAGAGTAGGATGTTTGCTTTTGGCCATGAAGAATAACTAGTACGAGACTTGCCTTCCTGCTCTACAGCTAGAAAACGGGACACCAGGTAGCACAGACTGTGATCATTCAGAGAAGAGGAACTAATGAGGAGAGCCTTGTGATCATTCAGACTTTCTGCACAGAGGCACCTTCCAGACCCTGGCACAGGAGGGGACCCCAGGCAGAGCAGTCATCTTGTTGAGTGGAGGAGCAGAGGCTAGAGTTTAGGAGATGAAGGCTGTCAGAGTTTTTAGAATAGAGTACTGAAAAGAAGAAAGTTATGCAGGAAAAGAACTCCAGAAATCTGTATAGAAGTTCTCTCGAGACTTTGGCTGAATAATATGCGAAGATGCAGAGATAAGATGCCAAGCCAGGCAAAAAACCAACTATGAGACACTGTAAGAACAATTCCTGAAGTGGACATAGGGGTGGGAGATATTGACTTTACAACCGATCAGAGTGAAGAGATCTCATTCAACAGACTCAGGAAGGAGCTGGGTTTCAGTAGCAGGGCTAAAGCAGCCACCATAGAGTTAAGGCTGCTAAATCTGTCCTAACAAAGGTATAGACCTGAACCATCTAATGCAATAGCCACTAGCCACATGTAGCTATTGAATCTTTAAAAAGTGTGACCAAACTGAGATGTCTTTATAAGTATAAATAAAATACAAACTAGATGTTGAAGACGTTAGTATGAAAAAATAACAATAAAACTATCTCATTAATAGTTTTTAGACTGACTACGTGTTGAAGTGATAAAACTGGGAATAATGAATTAAATAAAATATGTTATTAAAACAAAATTTTAAAAAAGAGAGTCCAGTGATAACCAAGTATTCAGGATGGAAAGTATGTGGGAAAGAATATTTCAAAATCCCCATTTAGCTTTCTTATGAATAAAACCTACCCTTTGAAATATTTAATTTCTTATCTATATTTCCAGTGCCTGACATATAATCCTGTAATTACGAAACCTCACATAATAAATAATAATGTGTTGTTTAGGAGGGGTTTTCTTGGCAGTAACAGCCTACAAAAGGAATTGTTTAACTACTGGAAGGACTTTTAAAAGGAAATACCTCCTGAGAGACCAAGGAAAGCATTAAAGACTCATAGACAGGTTACACTGAGCACTGGGGAAATTAAAACAAACAAAAAATGGCAAGGGTCCACCAAAGAAAAGACAACCAGAAATACCAAAAACATGATTTTAATTAAATATTTTTACCTATATTTTGTATTTCCAAACAAGAAAAAACATCTTCCATCAATGGAAGTTCTTCATATAGTCCTAAGTATCTACTTCAGTCCGTTTACATCTATATAAATATAAATAATATTTGTTAAAATTCACATTAATGTAAAATTTCAGAAGTGTTTAAAGGTACAAATATGAAAGAACCAGTGGGAGAGGCGCTTGTTTGTTCTTGAAGCTATGGGAAATAACAAGAGCAATTCCTAAAACCTGATGGTGATTTCACCTTTGCTGCATTTATAGCAAGAGAACACATAGAGAATTACTGGACATTTTACAAGGGACAGCGTAAAATAATAATCTCCCTTATCAGCTTTGATGGTAGACATGAGTTCATAATGTACCACAAAGCTATCTTTTGTAAGGACACTGAGTCTCTCCAAACCAGGCTAGAAGTTTCTAAGAGCAGCAATAGTTTTTAGGGGTTCACTGTGTTTCATGGACAGTACTTCCAGGTTTGGGGGTCTAGAGGCTATCGAAATGGAGAGGTGGCAATACTCTAGTAATACTTTTCTGATAGAAATGTTTTGACACCTGAGAAAGAAGTCGATTATTTTGATCCAGTAAAATGGTAAACAAACATAAAATATTCAAGTATTATATTTTAGTCTGCATTTTCTATGTGAATTCAAAATTAATAAATACCAATAATCTACTAAAAAATCTTTAAGGTAGAACCTTATTTAAATTCTGAATTTAGAGGTATCCACAAGCCTTCCCTGAATATGCTCCTCTCAGAGTTGCAAAGTTTATAAATGTGGTAAAATCTCTAGAATCATCATGGAGCTGAGAGGTAATTTAGAGGCAAAGTCGCCTTTCCAGTATAAGCCAAGAGGTCATGGCTTATACTGATTCATGGATGGAGTCAGCCTGTAGACAGATCTTTATATTCACATACACTAATTACATTCATAGCTACAGAATCATACATTAGATACTAGAGCACGATCCCAATCTTCTGTCTTTGCAAACATTCCTATTTGCATACTTAACATGCCACCACATTTATTCTTAACCATGTCTGTCTTTCCAATCAGATTTCAAACATCCTTGAAGGCAGAATCATGAGTATTGAGACTGGTAAATATATTAGCTCTACAATTCTAAGAAATGAAAAAATAAAAAGAAAGAAAGAAAGAAAGAAAGAAAGAAAGAAAGAAAGAAAGAAAGAGAGAGAGAGAGAGAAAGAAAGAAAGAAAGAAAGAAAGAAAGAAAGAAAGA